TGAAAATCAGTCAATCATATATTTTCATGGTGAAAAAATATCTTTTCCTTCCTTCTTCATAAGAATATTTATTTAGGTTTCAGCTCCGGAAAGATCTATTTGATCTAAAGATATAGGTGGAAGGGGATTTCCTGTGTGGTAAGAGGGCTGGTTCAAATTTGCATTTTGTTGATCGTGACATAGAAGAGGAAATGTGGCATATACTCAGAGAGATGCAATTTATCCCCAAGACCACTTGTTGTCCCTGGTTTAATAAGGTCAAGTGGCTGACTCTCCTTGATAATTAGAAATTAGTCTTAACAATCACACGAATAAACTAGAGCTCACTGTGCACTTACACTGGCATGGGGTTCAGTACATCCACATAATCTTCAGTTGGTTCCTTCTCTTTCTCCACAGACGTACTTGGCAGCTGCTCTGTCTCAATCCTCCTTTTCTTTTCTCTCTCTAGGACTTCATGCAGTCTAATTACTTGCCCAGGTAGGAGTGACACATGTTGGGGAACTGACAGCTGAAACCAGTTGAAACAGTGGCAGATGAGAAAGCCAGCCCAATAACTAACTGATTTCAGTAAAGATGAGCCCGTTCTGGTCCTACAGAGCTTCAGTTACCTGACAGAGATGGATGGGTGGAATCACAAATAGAGGAGCTTGGTCTGGAGGGGTGTATTAGAACTGCCTCTGAACCAACTAGAACCTGCACTGGTGCCCATCCTTCTTTCAAGAGATCTTCCTTTTTGTCTGACCCCAAAGCAAAGTATACCTACCTTGCACTATGAGCTAATTCAAGTAGCAAAAATCCTCTCATTTTGCACTCTGAGCTCACTAGTATATCAATGCCAGGGAAGTTCTGGAATAAACTCCCCCAAGTTTTTGCTGGGTTTTAGGATACTCCTTGACACTTACTCACATACCCTTGGGATACTCATACCCCAGTATAAGGAGCACCATGCCACACAATGATGCTTTTTGACAACAGAGGGAGAGAGTGCAATCCCCCAAAGAGTTTCTTTCCCTATCCCCCAAAAGCCAACATGACCTTCACATCTTTAACTGGCCCACTTTTCTAGCTCTATGACTTCTCTACATGGTAGTTGAACTTCCAACTTTTACCTGTTACTGGCTGAGATAAAGAACCAGTATCCATCATCTTGGTGAAATGCAGTATTTATTTCATATGACTTGATTTAGAAACTAGCTTTGGATAGTCTGTTTTTAACTGGCCCTAACAAACATAGAAAATTTTCATATCCTCTAATAGTATTAGAGAACATGGTGCTCTTTCGGGGGATGGTTATCAAAATACCTCATGTTTCCAAGACAGTTGCTACTGTGGGTTTATTTAAAATAATGAACGTTATCTTGCTGTAACAGTTAACTCTAAGCAGTAGATCTTACTATTTGCCTCTGATAAGATGCCATAGAGTTGAAAAGATAAGCATCCCTTTGTTTTAAGACTCACTAAGCAAATGTTTAAAGGTGAGTTTTCATTTTGATGGTCTCTCCCTTTCATATTATCTATGTTATTCATAACATTCATCTCAG